TAGTACAGTATAATAAAAAATAAAAAATATATACTATATACAAATGTTATCAATGAAATCAAAGATATGAACTTCGCATTCCTTCTCGTCCGGACCCATAAAGGTGTCATCTGGAAGAATTTCGTTGGCATCTTCATTTATAGCATCATCTACCTCCACCGGTTGAATATCACTTTGATTTCCCTTGTGTTGATCACTGCCAGGATCAATGATGGATGGTGGGGGCACTTTGTAACTATCAAGGCCCTCTGGTTTAACAAGCGAATCTTCTGAGCCATCAGAAGTCATTAAACACCCAGTCATCGTCCAAAATTTCTTCCTTTGCTTGTCATACTTAGAAGTGTTTAAAGCTTTCTATGCTTCCCCTGCCCAATGTGTAATCAAAATTCGTCTCTCTTTTATAGTGGCAAGAGTGCGTTCATGTGGAACGCATTAGAACTCGTGCGTTAGTTAGAAAGATATTGTAGTGAGTCATGTTTGTTTATATACATGTTTTTTTTTTATAAGCATATGAAATTTTTGAAACAGGCTCGGGTATGCTTAAGCAAAAAGTTAAAAGAGGCTCAAAAATATGCTTAAACTTAAGCATATTTCTAATAAAATATGCTTATTTTAATACTTTCTAAAAGTGCGCGCGTTACTAAAGGTTATAAGAAAAATAAAAAGTTTCATTACTGAACCATCTATCAGAATGATTATCTCTATCAAGCCATTTTTGATGTTTAATGGCAATAAGCCTTTTCAGAGTTGCAGCATATCCGGCATCAACTGGTTGCCAAAGGTCAGTGGCACTTGGTAGACCGTACCAGAGAAGTCCTTTAGCAGCAGCCACAGCATCTTTAAAATCCTCCTGCATCTGTCCCTTCATATTGTCCAGCAAAAGAACAAATTTATCAAGCTTTTGTTCTCTGACAAATGGAAGGACTGTTTTATCACACGAGTGCTTACAAACGTTTTGGTCTAACCAAGCATTTTGTTGGAAGTAAACGTGAATATCTTTGTGCCATGTTTACTTTTCGTCTTTTGAAATGCGTTTTCCTTGACCTCTAAAAATGAGGGCTAGCTTTGGTTGCTCTCCTTCTGGCCGAAACATAATTTGAAGGGAACATTACCTTTTTTCCAATCCAGAGCCCACTGAGAAGTGGGCTCTGGTCAACGTTGAGCCTTTGTCCAGGTTGGTACCGTCCCCATTTTTTGTCATAGCTGGGATCTTTAGAACCTGTTATGAATCACTTTTTTCTGTATGTCGCATGCCATTTCTGTAATAATGGTTCCATTTCTTTCTTATGTTTCCTTTTGTTTCTTTGTTTCGATCTCATTTTTAAATCCTTTTTTTGTAAAAATCGAACTATAACATGATGTTTTATTACCACGTTTTATTACCAATTTTCAATTATGTAACAAAGCCCCAAAACACGGAAAACTTGAAAAATCAAAAATTAAAAGACAATAATGGAATATCGCCGTGTAAGCGGCAAGCAAAGCCGCATATTCTTACTTCATAAAAATGATTGCAATAAATAAAAAATAAAAAAATATATAAAAAATGAAAAAAATATATATATATATTTATACATAAATACGTATATATATATATATATATATATATATATATATATATATATATATATATATATATATATATATATATATATATATATAAATTAGTAGAAAATCACTTAGCAAAATTTTTTCTCATTTAACACTGTGTTTCATCAATACAGACTCATCAGAAATGAATGATCAAATTAATAAAACTTCAATTTATACCAAAAATTAAATTACAGGAAGTCACATGTCTTATTTACTGCAATTTTTCACACATTTGTGTAATTTGCTGACACTATTGTAAAAAGAATTCTTTAGAAATGATTACTTAAGCATTTTTAAAAAAATATATATTTTTTTCAAAGGGGAGTTAATGTAACTATTATTTGAGCTCACTTATTTTTATAGTTTTTTAGGAGAAACTTATTTTCGTGCCTGCATTTAGAAATCAATTCCGATTTTTTGTTTAATAAACATTCTTGGTTTGTATGTGCAATTATTTCAAATTTTTCTTGTAGACAAAGTATACATTTTTTGGAAATATTGTTATATGCAGGCACTGTTTTAAGGATGGACCAGTTCAGTGTAAAATCATCAATATTTTTATCTTTTAATTCCCATATATATTTTGACAGCATGGTGTCTTTTCGATACTTTTTATTTTTAAAATATCGCTTATGGTTGGCAAAACTTTTTTTCCATTCACCTTCTGTTATGCCAATATATTGTTTATCAGGTACATTTGTAGAGGAGAAAACACATTTATATACCACATTTTTTGATAAGCAACTTCCACTCATTGGACAATTAATTTTTTGTTTACAATTACAATTTTATGTAGTTTTTTCATTTTGAATTTCTTTTTTGTTTAACAAAGCATTGTTGTGACCTTTTATAATTCTTTCCATATTTTTTGTGCAACTGTAGCTAACTTTAATAGTATTTCGATTAAAAATTTTATGTAATTTATTAGAGCGCGGGAAATGCTTATCGATCAATTTTAAAAACACTTTTCCTATGTTTGTGGAAACATTTTTGCTATATGAGGGGTTGAACCAAATTACATTTCTAGTTCTATTTCGCTTTTTTGTATTCTTTTTTTCAGGGTCAAATTTTAGTTCAAAGTTTTCAAAACCACTTTTTTTAAGGGTATCTTCAAATATCTGTTTGGAGGAATTGAATTTTCATTAAAGGAGTTTTGGTTAAGCCTGTTATTAATTGAAATCGGGATTTGTTTTAGAATTTGGGGTGGATGATTTGAGTTAATATTAATATACAACAATTCATCGTTTGGTTTTTTGAAAAGCTTATATGTATTTTCCGAGAGGTTAAATGTGACATCAAGAAAGTTCACAATTTTTATGTATTGTAGTTCACAATTTTTAAATTTATTTATATTTTTAAAAATTTAAATTTTTAGATTTTTAAATTTTTAAATTTATTTAAATTTTTAAAGTTCACAATTTTTAAATTTATGTTTATTTCAATTTGAAAGCCAATATTTTTAAAAATTTTTATTATATCTTTTCTAATTTTATCAAGCTGTGGGCCAGATTTTTTATGCATTACTATTAAACCATCGTCGCGATAAAGGCCTAAATCATTTATATTGATCATTTTACTTAATAAATCTAAAATATATAATCCAACAAATTCACAAATTTCTGGTTTTTCTACAATGTTTTATTATACGGATTGTTTCTTCAGGAATAACTGTGTGGCTTTTTGCAAATTCAATTGTTCTATCTAAAATATCTGCAGTTATAGAGGGGTTAAAATTATTAATATCAAATTGAACAAATGTACAGTCATTTTTATTATCGATTATGGAGAACCAATTTATAACATATACATTATATAACAATTTTTAATATATGTATATATGAGGCTGGCACAATAGGGGGGTGTGGGTTGTCACACACCATCTTCCCCCATCAATGATTTTTAGTCGACAAACTGGACCCTTAGTCGGCAAATTGGACCCTTTTAGACTAGTTAGTCGGCAAATTTCGATACAGGTTAGACAGTCGGCAAATGTCATCATGGCAGTCGGCAAATTTTGGAAAACGAGGACTTTGTTTTTTTTTTTTTTTTTTTTTTCGGCAAAAGTTGTGATGGCACACACCCCCCACGTGACACCTACTCGCGCCGGCCCTGTATATATTATATATATATATATATATAAATATAAATATATATATATATATATATATATATATATATATATATATATATATATATATATATATATATATAGGGGAAAGCGGGGCAACATGGCGAATGGGGCAAGATGAGTTTTCATATAATAACTCAAAAAAAAATTTTAAAATTGGGTGAAAACGAAACTGTATTTACATCTTGTATTTTAAAACACCAATTGGTTTATTGAAATATTATTAACGCCATTTTATACAAATAAGTTTACCTTTTGCGCTTAAAAAAAATTCCTCACTTTCGGTTTCTCATAATGGTTAGTGTCCTTCAAGTTTAACTTCTTTAGAAGTAGTTTTTGCAATTTGGGTGTATTTTTTGTTACTTTAATTAGAGTTATTGGCGGTTTTTGAAATTTTATAAAATTGGAGGTAAAAATTGCATAATAAGTCATCTTGCCCCGGTCACGTGACCAGATGACAAATTTATGAACTTTTTATTTTAATATTTATTTCAAATTGTTATATTTTCAAACTGAAAATTCATGCAGGCAATGAAAGAACTTAATAGCATAAACATAATGAAAAAGTATTATGGCTTCACGACTTATAGTTTTTCAATAACTCAGGGCTTTCAAAACGTTCGCCATGTTGCCCCGCTTTTCCCTATATATATATATATATATATATATATATATATATATATATATATATATATATATATATATATATATATATATATATATATATATATATATATATATATATATATATATATATATATATATATATATATATATATATATATATATATATATATATATATAATATATATATATATATATATATATATATATATATATATATATATATATATATATATATATATATATATATATATATATATATATATATATATATATATATATATATATATATATATATATATATATATATATATATATATATATATATAGTAACAGGGAGGCGGGCGGCGTGATAGCCCTTTAATTTTTTGGAAAATTACATTTTTTTCCTTTTTTAACCCCCCTAGTTTCCGCTTCAACCCTTTCCCCTTTTACGTCAAAAAATATAAAATAAGAGCTTTGTCACAAAAGTAATACATTTTAATAAATTAATAAAAGCGGTATTAATCGGTTCAAAAAGCTTCTTTAATTGAGCTTTTGTTTTTAAACAACCAATAACATTAACTAAAAAAGAGCTTCTGCGAATCACGTTACTTCAGCCGTTTTATTCGTTAAACCCGCTTTAGATCAAGAATTATGTTTACATAATTAATATTGTTGTTAAATGCTTTGTTGTTAAATCTTTAAAAGCATTCTGAAATTTTTTTGCTAACTAGCAAATTAATTATATGTTATAATAATCCATCATATGTTTCTTTAGCCCAACAAAGTATCTACAAAAATGTCAGTCTTGGATCAGTTAAAGATATTTACCACTGTCGTTGCTGATACTGGAAATTTTCAAGGTTTAAGAAAATTTTTATTTTTGTTATACATAATTACATATTACAAAATTCAAAAAAATATAATATATATTATATTTTTTTAAATTTTGTATATATATACACAGTATAAATCAATGACTTAAAAGTGTTTTTGATTTAGCTATTGATCAATACAAACCAACAGATGCCACAACCAATCCATCGTTAATCCTGCAAGCTAGCCAAATGCCTGAATATAAAAAGTTAGTTGATGAAGCTGTCAGTTCTGCAATAAAGGAAACAAAGTAAATAACATTTTAATTTGAAATAATTTTTTTTTTAATAAAGCAAACGTTAAAGTCGCTCTTACATTTAATTTTAAGTTTGTTTACCTTCCTACTAAGTAGAAAAATTTGAAGTCTTGAATATTTAAGTATCAATTTTATTTCTTAGTTATGTTTTTCAGAGATGAAAATGATCAAGTAACATTGGCAATTGATAAACTGGTTTGTTTTTTTTTATTTCTAGAACTTAATAGATATTTTAATAGATATTAATAGATATAAATAGATATTAATAGATTTTCAAGTCAAATATAAGAATACGTAATTTTAAGAAGTTCTGGTAGTGTTGTGTCTCCTAATTTCCTTCTTAAATACTAAAATACTTGTTTTAAAAATTATTGGAATCTTTTCACAAATGTATATATATTTTTTTTACAGTTTGTAAAGTTTGGGCTTGAAATTTTAAAAATTGTTCCTGGAAGAGTTTCAACTGAAGTTGATGCAAG